ATTGGGTTAAAGTTAAGGGACTATTGCTACAATTTTCTCATTTGGTTTTTCATATTTGCCCCTTGATTTAGCCTTACGTGCCACGTGACTCATTTTGACGTAAGTTCTAATGAAATTGATGAAAAGAACCATAGCTGCACGTTTTGATAAGTAAAGAGACCAATGTTCACGAATTTTTAGTTGATGGACCATTGGTCTAATTCAGTTAAAGTTGAGGGACAACATCAACAATTTCATCTAAAATCTTAGTTTAGCTTGTTAGTGAAGTACACATGGCATGATAAGAAGTTCAAAAATTGAAATGAAAAGTTTACTAGCATTTTCTATTGGAATTGGTACTAATGCTAATAAGAAGATTTTATTAAGCATCTTAGATGACAATTGAAATGATACCAAATTGAAAACTAAAGCTAAATCAATTATTAGATGAGAAACGCTTGAGTGAAACACTCATGTCACGTCATTATGTAACATAGTCAGTTTAACCATATGATTATTGGCTAGTATATATTTGAACACTGGTATAACCAGTCCATATATTACAATTAATATATGTGAACATCTTAATTTTTATCTAAATAGTACTTATATGATTATGTAGATTGGTTCTACCACATAATTTTGTTCTAGTATTACATAATAATTTTTCTCTAACGTGGGACATAGAATGTACATTGAAGAGAACTTCTTCCCCTGCCTCTTTGATATTTGGTAAGAAATACTTTAATTTATTAACGAGAATTCAAAGCAAAACATGTGCACCCAATTAGGTCCCCTCAGTACTCTCCATGGAATATAGATTGGAGGCTACTGGTCGTATTGAGTATGCATATGCATGGGCTGGTTAATTGCATTAACAGCCAACCCTGTTACGTGCGTTGACTTTGTTTGGCGAAGGGGAATAAGGTAAGGACTTCAATATAGCTACATGCATGTTCCACAAATTGTGATCTTCGTGAGATCTGATCATTTAGATCATGACTGCAGGGCCTAGAAAGGAAAATAACATTTTCTATGCATGTTCCACAAATTGTGATCTTCGTGAGATCTGATCATTTAGATCATGACTGCAGGGCCTAGAAAGGAAAATAACATTTTCTTGGCGGATGGGAATTATTGCCCAAAGCAGTAATTGAAAGAAGGTGGATTGTCTGCCCTTTCAGTTTCTATACTCTTCCTATATCCTTCTATGATATGTGATCACGATTAAATCACGTCAATATTTTATATTAATTTTTCATAAAAATAATAAAATAAAATGTAATAGGAATATAAAATGTTGACGTGATTTAATCGTGATCACACAAACAAAATAACATAAAAGAGTATGAAAATGAGAGAGCCGGCAATCCAACTTCCAACTAAAAATTGAAATCGTAGTAGAATTAGGTTCATCTGCGAGAAGGTGATGATGTGACGTTCTTTCGAATGACATGGGAATCCGACCATTTATATTTGCACGGATGATTTATTACAAAGTCTTATCACAAATTTAATCCCGTGTAATTCTGTCCAGGTATGCAATTCAATATATGTTCAAGTTACTTGAGGAGAAAAAAAAATGCTGATAACAAGAATGTTATACGTTAGCACTTACACATAGTTATGTGTGGTTAGTTTGATATACCACTATAATGATACTCAATTGTAGATAAATTTCTTCATTTAAGACTTTTTTTTTTTTTTTAAGTCATGAATAAGCGAGTAATTAAACTTATGATGATGATCTCACTTAGTATATGAATTAATTAATGGAATTTCACGGGGTTTTTGTGTTAAGAATATAAGTGGAAAGTGATAGTATTTTCATATTTAAATGAGGTGCAAAACATCAAATGTAACATACAAAACACTAGGAAAGTGGAACAAATAAAAGTTAAATCAAGGGAGAAAATCATGGCAAGATGGAGGTTGATCGAGCACATTAATTATTCCATTCAAAATATAACACATGTATTTTTCTGTTAACATACTTTAATAAGTAGAATATATCAAATTTATCATCTACTCGTCTTATAAGACGTATATATTTGTTAAATCACGTAGCTATTTTTCTAATACACAAAAAACTTCTCAAAAATTGATGAATATGACCACAGTACTGTGGAGTGAACATTGGTATGATTTGAGAGGCTATGCTTTTTTAAGATTTAACGATAATTAAGGTTCATTTGCTATGTATGTGTGAATACTTTTAAGATCCCATTTGTAATTTCAATATAAGAATATAGTTTCATGTTCCAAATAAGTATATTCATATATGTCCATTTAAATATAAAAATATAAGAATATAGTCTATACATGCACCAATAGGCAAACAGTTTAAATGGATACCTATTCAGTTAAATGGATATCCATTGAAGTGTAGACTGGGGTGGTGATTGATGATATTTGTGCTTGTAATGGTGATAACCGATATATAGAGTTCCATGGACACCTATTCACCATCCCTATATAGTACTGGCACTGCGACGGTTCTTACAATATTTGTTTGTTTGTGAGTTGTTCCAGCTAAAAATAAATTGATACAGAATTAGACCGTCCAATTTTGACAGATCTCACATCAAAGTTTCAACGAGGTCGATCATTCCAAAATCCAAATAGTACCAATCCCCTCATAAAAATAAAATGAAGTTAAAAAGTAGTGCCATTATTGGGAGTAAGGGGGACAATTGACAGAGGACGTACACCTTTGTTATGTTGCATGCCAAATCAACCTAAACAACAAGAGATATGATAAATCGTAAACCGAAACTAGGACCCGTAGATTATTCCCAAGCACTCCAAATGGAAATTCACACCTGTCTCTCCTCTCGCAGTGATGGCCTGTCTGATAGATATTTCACTCATTTTTTTCTATTTTTTATTTCTCTTCTTCCCTTTCCATTCGTGGTCGCTTTACACCTGCCAAACATGTGAGAGAAACAGTGGTATATACAGCAACAGCGCGTGCAAGAAGTCGAGTTTATTTTGACAAGAAAAACTTAACTGCAGCAAGGTGCATTTGCTTAGCTACCGTCATACTCGTCACGTGATATTTTACTTAATAAATGTGAGAAGCAAGGAGAAGGGATATATCCCCGTTACTGGAAACTTTTCCTCCACTAGGCAGGACGTGTCTAAAGTTTGTCTATCTCACTAAAACGGATAGGCTTACAGGCTCCAGGCCATCGGCTCTATTACCGTCTTTACAACAACTTACCCATAGGTAGCCTCACGGTAACAGGGCCCTCACTGCCTCAGCATTCTTGTATCAGCTTCCATTGGGCCGTACAATTTGTAAGTTCCAACTTTAACACAACAAATTTAGAGGGAATTTGCGAAAAACACAAACCGAAAAAAAAAAAGAGAAATTTTATTTGAACCTATGTTTTTTTCTGCACCCAATTTACTCTCTTCATCCATTTTTTTTATTAAAGAATTAATCTCTCTTTAAACCTAAATTTATTAACTAAACTACTCTCTCAAACCCAATTCAAAATGTTAAGTTATCTTTACATCCATTCCTTTTATAAAATAACATATGTAATTAATTTTTTTAAAAAAAGAGGCGTCCTTGCCCCACCCAGCTCTTCCCACTAGCATTTCCATGGCTACTTTTTTTTCTTTCTGCTACCAAACCCAGACATTTGCCTTTTTTTCTTTCTACTGATGTGCATAAGCAACAAATCAAACAATTCATCCTCTTATATTTATCAACAAGCAGGGAAGTTTATAATCTAATAACATTGGTAAGAAGTTTTTCCTTCCTTTAGAATTTTCCAATTTCAGAAAGTTTAACAAACTATTCGGGATTGATGAAAAAAATTGAAACCCAAATACTCATCTTCTAAACTTTAAAAAAATTGAAATCAAACGAACAAAATATTCATAAATTGAGTCATACCTTAGTCGGAGAATTCAAAACTTCAAAATCACCATCCATCAATAAAAAAAGCTTGTTTTTCTTTACAAGACCTATTATGGTTTTAGCCAGAATGAATGTAAGATAAACAAGAAAGTGATGGTAGGGTTTAATGGGTTTATTGATAAATTTGAGTTTTATTATTAATTTTATTTTGTACTTAATAGTAATTATGCAATAGGGTGAAATAGACAATTAACAATTTAAATTTAAGTTGGTGTAGAAAAAAGTTACATGGATTCAAATAATAATAAATAGTGGATATATGATTACTTGGAAACCTATTAATTCTCATTATTATGTGTTAAATTTGCAGATTCTGTTAAAAATACTGGAAAATTACCTTCACGTTCTGTAATTAGAGAAAATTGAGAAATTTTTAAATTGGTGGAACCTACTTAAGTGGCGCTTCTGATTATTCAATTTGAGATTACAGTTTCTTAATCATGGTTTATTATTGGCAATACGTTTAAATCACAATATAATAATTTTGAAGAATATTCTAATAAGATTTTGATTGATATTTTATAATCTAGATCTTCATCAAAAGGGGTGGTTCATTTTTAAGTGTATCAGTTGAGATGTTGAATCGATTTTGTATATAATCATAAACAATTTTGTTTCTGGTTCGGCAATCTTCCTATTAACATAAATGTAAACATTTGTTTGATTTTCAAGATAATGGGAACCCAAAGTACATTTTTGTTAATTTTGTTCCTTCATATGAAAAAAATATAGAAAAAAATAAAAATTCAAACTTAAATGCAAGAAGATTAACCTTTTTTTTTTTTTTTTTTTTTATCATTGTAAGCTTATGCCGAATTGATTCACAACTTTCATTGAATGGAGACGCTACTCTGACTAGCTGGTTTAACTCACGTCAACCGACACCGCTAGTCAACATCAATGGAGCAGTTTCTGCAACAGGGGTAAAAGGGTCAAAATACTTTTCTTCAATGGAGAGGAAAAGTTTACACATTGTAGAATAGTGTGGGGAGGGGGAGAGAGTAAATAGCGTGGGGGGAGAGAAAGACTGTCAATACTGTAGACTGAGTGGGACAGGGGTGCAAACATATGGCAACGAGATCAGAGAGAAGCACCGTGCGAACGCATAGAGGTCAAAAGCCCGTATAAAATAAAATATTACAAAAGGAGTCCAAGACTCTAAGCAGTCGGCGCTCCCTATTTATAGTACCTGCAAATCCCACCAAAACGATGGCCAAACCTTCCCAGAAGAACCACAACCCAAAGCACTCCCACCACCGCTGACGCCCTCCTCCTTCTCTCTCCTCCATCCCTCTCTTGAAATTCCAATCAACCAATGGAGAGCAATAGCAGTACCAGAGGAGTCTTTAGCGTCTCAATGTGCGGCCAAGAGCAGATTGAGCTCTCCAGAGACGGCAGCCACTACAGTCTCTCAACTGGGATTTTGCCTTCCCTCGGTGCAAGGTCGAGCAACCGACGTGTGAAACTCGGCAGGTTCATTGTCTCGCCGTACGACCGCCGCTACAGGTTATTTTTTCAGACTTTTGGTTTCTGGGTTGCCTCTGTTTTCTGCTCATACTTTCATCAAACACCTTGTATACCAAAAATCTTTTATTTGTTACTATATTGTTTATTGTATCAGTTGCGTTGACTAAACTTGTTTTCTTGTTTATTTTTATGTTAGCTTTTTTACTGGGTTTTGTGTTTCGTAAAGAACCATTGAACTTTTGCTACAAAAGGTTGAAGCTTTGTGGTTATTTTTATCAATTGTAAGTTTTATGTCATTTTTTCTGGGTTATGATTCTTGTTCTGGGGTTGTTTGTAGTTAGCCCCTCTGGGATTTTTGCATTGCCTTGATGCATATTAGTCTTTTTTTTTTCCCTTGATTTTTGTTATTTACTTCCGGTTTCTGTGCTTTCTTTTTATTAATTTATTCAGTCTTTTGGGGATTTATAAAAGACGGAGATTGAATCTTAGAGGTGTCTTTTCAATGATTCAAAGGATTCATTTATTCTGGTTTTTTATTTCCATTTTATTTTATTTGCCAAGTATGTAGCTTTATGCTTCTAAAGTGGTTGTTGGTATGTGTTTGAATGGTCATGAATCATTATAAAGTGGTTGTTGTTGAAAATTATTTCAGTGCTAAAATTCTAGGGGCCCAAAAGTATCTTCCTTTTTTTCAAAAGAAATTTGTGTTGATTCTGTGTTGGAATATACCCTTTCTGTTTCCATGTGCACAGTAGTCTGGACTGAGTCTGGATTTATGTTCTCTGAACTGAAACAGACATATCAATCGATCGTTGGTTAAAAAAAAAAAATAATAATAATATAAATTCGTTTACTAGGAAAAGAATGTTCGGATTTGGAGGCCTGCAATTCATCTAATTTTTTCTTGTATGGAAAACAATCTGCAGTCTTATTTGGTGATTCTTGACATTTTTTGAATCAGATGGAAAAGGAAAAGTTTTGAATGCAAATCACTGAACCAAGACATCCCATATGATTTAAATTCTGCAAGAATTATATGTGCAGAGCAGAAATTTGCAATCTTGATTTGGATAATATTTCTTGGGATTTTCTTACAAGCTGAGGCGGTTTGACTGGTTTGATCCGACTGAATTGGTAAAAGGTCTATCCTGTTGCTAAACTTGGCTCGGATTGAATTTGTTCTTGCAGGATATGGGAGACCTTTCTTGTTGTTCTGGTCATCTATACTGCTTGGGTGTCACCGTTCGAGTTTGGTTTCCTTAAAGGACCAGGAGGACCGCTCTCCATTACTGATAATGTTGTCAATGGTTTCTTTGCTATTGATATCATTCTCACATTCTTTTTGGCTTACCTGGACAAGACCACATATTTACTTGTTGACGATCGAAAAAAGATTGGTTGGAAGTATGCAAGATCCTGGTTGATTTTCGATGTCATATCCACAATCCCATCTGAACTTGCTACGAGGATCTTTCCTAAATCTGTGCAGTCTTATGGCTTTTTCAACATGCTTCGTCTTTGGCGTCTACGAAGAGTTAGTGCCCTATTTTCCAGGTATGGCAATAGTTTTTCCCAGCAGTTTTTTTACTGCAAAAATGCATATAAGCAGAAGTTTTTCTTTATGTTAACCTCCCCACTATTCTTGCTTGAACAGATTGGAGAAAGATAGGAATTATAATTACTTTTGGGTTCGCTGTGCAAAACTTATTTGTGTAAGTATTTATGATGGTTCTGGGATTACTTACATGAACAAAATGCATTTGTTATACGGCATCACCATCTGATGGGATTTCGATGCTCCTTTGTAGGTCACTCTTTTTGCCATCCATTGTGCTGGATGCTTCTATTACCTTATAGCTGCACGCAATCATGACCCTGCAAAAACATGGATGGGAGTAGAAATCCTAGGACAAAGCCTGTGGATTCGGTATGTGACTGCAGTTTATTGGTCTATCACAACGCTAACAACAGTTGGATATGGAGACCTGCATCCAGTCAATGCACGGGAGATGATCTTTGACATATTCTACATGTTCTTCAACCTGGGATTGACATCATACTTAATTGGAAATATGACCAACTTGGTTGTGCACGGGACCAGTCGAACTAGAAAATTTGTGAGTAAATTCATATTCACTTAATTGGATTTTGTGCAATAAAATTAATTAAATGTGAAAATATTAATTTAGTTGCTTCTGTTTACCAGAGGGATACCATACAAGCTGCCTCCAGTTTTGCGCAGAGGAACCAACTGCCTCTACGCCTGCAGGATCAGATGCTTGCACACTTGTGTCTGAAGTTCAGAACGGATTCTGAAGGACTGCAGCAACAAGAGACCCTTGATTCCCTTCCTAAAGCCATCCGCTCGAGTATTTCACATTATCTGTTTTACTCTCTTGTAGATAAGGTGTACTTGTTTCATGGGGTTTCAAATGACTTGCTCTTTCAGTTGGTAAGTTCAAACCCAATCTCAAAGTTTTCAATCAAATTCTTCTCTCTAGTGAACTTGTCCGAACTTTTCAAAGTATCTTGTGTGGATGTTTGGTTTAAATTCTTATTCTTCTTCTGAATTCAAAGGTCTCGGAGATGAAGGCCGAGTATTTTCCTCCCAAAGAAGATGTAATCTTGCAGAACGAAGCACCCACAGATTTCTACAGTACTTGTCACTGGTGCTGCGGTAACAATTTCATCTTTCTTTTTCATTCATTTCAAAGACTTTATAACTTTCCTATTCTCTTTATTTGAATTTCTTTTCTGAACAACCCAATATAATATTTGAATTACTTTACAGGATTTAGTGGTTCTCAAAAATGGAGTTGAACAGGCAAGTCTAACACTTGAATAGAAAGGATATCTTTTGCATTCGGTAGTTGCTTTGACCGTGGTAACTGATATATAAGATTATGAGTAACATTATTTTTATAAATTGCAGGTCATTGGTGAGGCAAAATCTGGTGATCTTATTGGTGAGATCGGGGTACTTTGTTACAGACCACAGCTCTTTTCAGTTAGAACCAAAAGATTGAGTCAGCTTCTACGGCTGAATCGTACTACATTCTTAAACATAGTTCAAGCTAATGTTGGAGATGGGACTGTGATCATGAATAATCTCCTGCAGGTGAGCTTATCTGATCCAGAAGTTAAAGAAACCTATTTATTTCTAAGAATTTGTTTGGATGATGATTTTTGACAAGTTGCACTCTACATTGCGTTTCTTACTTGGTGGGTTGCAGCATTTGAAGGACCTCAAGGACCCAATCATGGAAGGCGTTCTGTTGGAGACGGAGAACATGCTAGCTCGGGGTAGAATGGACCTACCTCTCAGTCTATGCTTTGCAGCAATCAGAGGAGACGAGTTGTTGTTAAATCAGTTGCTGAAACGAGGTCTGGATCCAAATGAATCGGATAATAACGGGAGGTCTGCTCTGGTATGCAAAGTCCTATGCTCTTGATTTTACCCTTTTTCTAGAGCATCAAACTCTAAATACTAACACACATTCTATGTTTCCTCCTTGTTCTGTGAAAAACCAGCATATAGCATCATCGAAAGGAAGCGAAAACTGCGTTCTTCTTCTGCTAGACTACGGGGCGGATCCTAACAGCAGAGGTACTATCCAAACCTTTAACAAATCATTAAGTTAAACCATCATTAAACATATAATTGTTGACATTAAGAGTAAAGTATAATATATCCTAATGCAAGAAAGTCCGTTCTATTATTTCGCTAAGACTTATCGTCAATCATGCTATATCGTAGGCTCCCTACGCGATAAGGAGTAATCATTTAATAAACATAAGAGTTAAGATCAAATTAATATAATCCGTCCATGTAGAGAAATACTGGTCTTGTGTGTTGACCTTTGCCAATACTGCTTCCAAGGTCTTTTAAGTTCACATACCTAATTAACTATAATTCAGAAATACTCTTCTATTGTGTAAACGATTATTTATTCCCTGTTATGACAAATAAAGAGGAATGATAAGTAACCGATTACACATAAGATTCTGCCCTTGTATTTGTATAAAATGCCCTTGTATGCATGTTGGCCATTGACCTTATCAGATATGGTTCACCTGTCATACATCTGTGACGACTTAAGTTTTCTCATTCATTCCTTTAATAGTAAGTTGGCAAACTGTGTTGACTTTCCATAATTATTTGTTTCAAATTTATCAAAATAAAAATAAAAAATTTGTTTGTTTCGAATTATTATATTTTATGTTTAAAAATTCTGGTTGACTTCGTAATCTTATCCAGAAGGCATGCATGTGCCTCCCACATCATGCCATCTGACAAGTAGATAAATCTCTCATTAGAGTAATATTAAGTTATTTAGGCTTTCGAATCTGTTTATCTTATCCCTTTCCTGTTTAATTTATCTTTAAAATATAGGAGTCTGATTCTTCTAGTTTTTTTATTCAACCATGCAAACTAGAGTGAAATAAAAATCATCTTTTGAAAAGAAATTTTTGTCTCATAGGTCGTGCAAATAGAAATTTGTTGTGAATTTGTCTGCATAGAAACGTAAGTTCTGTTGGTTGGCCAAAATTATGTACCATGTCTTTGCACTTAGATTAGGATTTCCGTCTCCTTCTTTCTAAACTAAAGTAGTTTAGAACGGCGTTTTATCAAAAAGAACTAAATTTTTATACTAAAATTTTACTTATTAAGAAATAATTGGCAACATGCATGCAAGTAGCCTTGTATTATTTAAGTGAAGGAAGTCAATGCATTTCCTTTTTCCTTTCCAAAGATAGATCGTCTCCGTTGACTTGATGATATGATTTGTAATGAAATACTTCTGCGTGCGCATGTATGTCTGCACATGTCTTGTTTATTATGTAATCAGGAGTGATTAAAAAAAGAGTCATATTTTTTAATGTGGGCGGTTGTTCCCGTTAGACCTCGTCAACTCTCCACAGCTTGCCATCTGCGTTGGACCGCCCTCTTAATGTAATTTTGGGTTTAACTGCTGGTTAATTACGCGTTTACTATATGATTTAAGATAAACTTTTGGGTTTAACATTAACGTAATTTTGTTTTCATGCATTGGCAGACTCAGATGGGAATGTACCACTGTGGGAGGCAATACTGAATGGTCATGAGCAAATTGCCAAGCTGCTGTTAGAAAATGGTGCAAATTTGAACTCAGGGGATGTTGGTCAATTTGCTTGCACTGCTGCTGAGCAAACCAGGTTGGACTTGCTCAAGGAAATTGCCCGACATGGCGGGGATGTCACGCGTCCGAAAAGCAACGGAACCACAGCTCTGCACGTTGCAGTATCTGAAGACAACGTAGACCTTGTCAAATACCTCTTGGACCAGGGCGCTGACATTGATAAACCCGACCTCCATGGCTGGACCCCGAGAGCCCTAGCAGAACAACAAGGACACGAAGACATAAAGACCCTTTTCCACTCTAGTAAAGAACCCAAAGTTGCCGTTACCATTCCTGAACACAAGAGTGGAATCCGGTTCCTTGGGAGGTTTACAAGCGAGCCAACTATCCACCCTCCACCCACAGACAGCTCATTTTCAGGAGCGGAGGGAGGATCATGGGTCAGAAATCGCCCAAGGCGTAGGACTAATAACTTCCACAACTCTCTGTTTGGCATGATGTCAGTTGCCCACATAGGGGAGAAAGACTTGTTTCTCTCTGTTGCGGAGACGAAAAGTCCTAAGAGCTACGTAAGCAACGCTGCTGCGAGGGTGACAATTAGTTGCCCTGAAAAGGGTGAAGTGAAAGGCAAACTTGTGGTGCTCCCACTGAGTTACGAGGAGTTGCTTGAGATGGGGGCAAAGAAATTCAGACTCTCACCGGCGAAAATCGTGAGCAAAGATGGAGCCGAAATCGACAATATAGATGTAATTAGAGACGGTGATCATCTTGTTTTTGTAAGTGCTGGTGAATCACAACAAACAAGAACCTAACAGCCAAAATCCTTCAAGTAATTAAAGAGGATTTGGAACTAAAATGTCGGTATTACCACGGACTAATCCAGATTAAGATATGCTGGATTAAGAGATGTGGATGAAAATGATGGACACGGCTAACCTCTTGCCGTCCTCTGTTGTCTCCATATAGTTTTCTTTTGATGTAGTTATTTTCTTGTGTTTATTTTTTCTTTCAATATTATGACTTGCACGTCAAGTCACAGTGCAAATTAATTCATTGTGGCATCAAAATGTACATGATTCACAGCCTGAAAATGTAAAAACTGTAAAATAAAATCAGTTTAATCTCGAGCCACGTGCTAAAATCAAATATTCACGTCTACTATTTTTGTTGTTGACTAATAAAAATCAAATTGTAATACAAACATACGTAGCTATAAGTTAAGCAAGTTGGTTAGGTTAATACGCCAGTGTCGCCATATCTAAGAGCATGAGCCACTCAAGATCCGAGGGAGACTTGATCATCCGTCTCCGCTTCCACGTCCGTCTTGTTTGTGGTGACATCGATACTGGTATGCTGACTACATCGTTCGTCCTGTCAGTTGTGACATCATTCCTCTCCGGACTTGGATTTTCTGCAAGCGTTTTTTCTTTGATGTAGCCGATACGCATGGAGGGAGTTTTGTTCGAACACCTCTCACTCGACAGAAATTACGGGAGATGACCAAAAATCACGTAACGTTAGATTCAAATGAGAGATTTTTGGATTTGAGATCTGTAGCTTAAATTTGAACAACAAAATGGTTTCTTGGGTTGTACATGACGTTATACAGGAGTGACCTTGGGTGGAAATACAACGGTAAAAACCCGCTTCGCCGGAGACATACACAAGACTCAGAGGACACAAGTCGAAGAATAGCTCAACTGGTACAATCACGGAGCAAAGCAAAAATCACGAGTCTTGAGAGTACCAAAAGTACCGCACAAATGGTAATCCCCCAACATTTGTTGGATCTTTCCAGGATCAGGGTTTACAATTTAATGAATTCTGTGGAGAATGAGACTATTCCTTCTCCTCTGCAGTCACAGAGTCCTTCAAGAAGTTACAAAGTGCAAATACACAGCGGATTTCATATCCTGAAATTTATTTCCATCTCTACAACAACTTCAGCATTTTCAGGCGCGCTTCATGTTCGGGATCTAGTTTCGGTGGGGTATAGCATCCGTGAAGATCCTCCACTATATACTCCTGCATAAGTTTGAACCATAAGCATTGCGGGACCTTTGAATGATGCAAATGTCTAAGAAGATATGAAAGTTTACGAGATGATATGCAGTCTCTCTTGGTCTGGAAAACTAATGCAAGTCCATGCACATTCCAAGAAATGATTAAATACAACTATGTAGACATGCACAGGAGAAGAAAGTCGAGAAGTAACCTTTGTGAGTTCCCTCTTGGTCAGGATGTGATAATGTCTCTGCCAGATCCTCTGAATAGCCATAGTAGCGGCAAGGAAACCATAAGCTATGCCAAGAATGGCAAAGATGACAACAAACACGATAACCAGGGCAAAGCAAGCCTCCATAGATGCTGGGAAACAATCCAAGATTCCCCAACCGTAGCAACAGTTCTGGCAGCCAGCCATCTGTGGGTCATTGCCATTGAGTGATGAACAGTGTAGTATGAGCCCGAAAAATCCAAGCAGCACAAAGAAGGCCAGTACCCCTGATTCAATACAAGGCAATAGATTGTTAACTGAATAGTTTTGACAAGTGAGAACCAGAGTGTTTAAACGTTTCCTAGATGAGTGAGGAAAAAAACCCTGAACCAAATAACCTTTTTCCATGAACAGTTTTAAGGTGTAGGATTTTACCTATACAATAATAAAATGGTATAGGATGTTTTGACAAGATACGATCCCAACCATCACTAAATGAATTCCTGAAGGCCCCATCTTTGTCCATGACATATGCAAAGCCACCAATTGCAGCTATAACCTGGAAAGAAAATTAATCAGAGATGGGTGGAAAACCAACTGATTATGAAAGAAAGTAAATAAATAACAGAACAAAATAAAATTCCAAAGGGCAATTGCTTACTGATTGTACAGCCAAAAACACGAGGAAAACATCCCTCGCCACAAAAACTTGGAATTTTATTTTGCGCCAGGCATTGTCCTCATATGTTTCAACTCGAAGGTGAAATTGAGCTTTGCAAGTTGTGCAGTGTGAGAAAGCAAATCCTTCCTAGAAAAGCAGATGAAAGATGGGAGAGGAAAACAAGTTAAGTAAATTTGAAACCACTATGCGGTTTACACACAATCTAAGAGAAAAGTCACTAAATTTCACTATGATATACAATATCATCGCTCCAATAGAAAAGGTTACTTACTTTAACGGAGCGCCAGTGATCGAGACAGGACCTATGAACAAACTGCTGGGTGCCTTTGCACATGCAGGGTGAAATCAATTCATCCTCTGTAAAGTTAAACAACACAAGTCAGACCAACAGCAGCATCAAGATGCCTACGCAGCAACGAGATCAAACTTAGGCCAATTTCCGAAAACATGCGAAATTCACAGTTTTTATACTCATTTCAACTCCCAAATGAATCAAATTACTGCAACCTATTACATAGACTTAAAACTACAAAAAGATACAATCTTTCGAAGTTTCAAACTTCGATTACAATAAATCACAACAATTTAACCCACAAAACAATTAATCACTCCTCGGGAATCACACAATACTGAAATCCAACACTGCTTAAACAAAAATTCAAATTAACAAACTTAATTTCATTAATAAAAAACTGATTGACCTGGTTCGGCATCGCTTTCGAGACAAATGCGACAGCAAGGGATAGAGCCAGACTCAAGGTCTTCGTTGTTGATCTCACTCGAGCTTGCCGGCGACGAATCGTCCTGGTTCGGTAGCAGAGGCTCGATGTCAGTAGGGTCTCTGTCTCGCTCCCCTTCACCTGTTGGCTCCAGCTGCACTTCCCCTTTCATTGATCGGCCTCAGAAATCGCTCGAAACCCTACTCCAGCTCCCAATCGCCAACCAAAACAGATCAAAACCCCTACAATTTGTCAAAATTCAAGCGCAATTCGTAATTTATGAGTGAGAATTGGTAACTTTCGCAGAAGTTTAACGGGGATTCCGACGGAAATTAAAGAATTAATTACGGAACTATTTGGGGATTTATTTAATTTTAAATGAATAAATACCTAGATTTTTTCTGCAGAGAATTTCCGAGGCAATTTCGTAAATCGGTGATTTTACGATGACGATAGGCATATAGCTGTGTTGGGATTTGTGATGTTCTATACGACGCAGGTTGCGTACTGCGCGCTCTCGATGACTTGACCGGGTAATCATTGTGTGCACTTGGACCTAGTTTATATGGACCCCATGGATTTTTAGTCATTTGGGCCGTATAACTTTAAGTGTAATGGGCCACTTGACCCAATTCGTTTTCCATGTCTATGAATTTTGTACTCAAATTTAAGTTTGTTTGACCAAATAAGCTTTGTTGCTTGGGATACAAGTAAGGGGTAAGAGTTTACTTCGGCACTTGAGGTCTTATGTTCGATTTAACCATCCTCTAATATTGCTTGTATCGGAACAAGGACTTGAAGAGCACCTTTATAATTCATATTTAGCACATTAGAAGGGGATTACGAGTATTTTATAAACATAAGTCAAAATATAATGAACTAGTATGTGAGCCACGGAAATGACGATGACCATTTAAGTGTAACAAAAACAAGTCGAAAGCAATGTGAAATACAAAAAAATGTACACAAAAGAGAATGAAAAAAAAAAGCCAATAGGCATTCCATTAGTTGATGTTCTTCATCACGCACTAATTCAAAGTTCTAGGATTGAATTCGACGAATAAAGTCAATAAAATTTGCAGAGATCTTAAGCCACATTGATCTAACAGGGAAACTAGTTGAAAATCTAAAAAACTGATCAATTTTTCGATAGACTTTCACCGTCGAAACTCAAATCTACCTACTCCGGTTGATCATCGCACAACGTTTTATTTCAGAAACAGAGCATGATTGAATAACTGTCTTGATGAATATCGATGCCTTTTACCACTTCTACTCTTCTGGACCTTTCAATTTCTTCGAATTTGGACTTGCAGCTTCATCTTCTTCGTTCTTTCTTCCCCTTTGCTCCCCTTGCCCTTCTCTCCGATCTTTCTTTTCCCCTCGGTGGCGCTTTCACTCGGCTTCAAATCGGGTTTTGTCACGGGGGTGGCAGGAGGAAGAACAGGGTTCTTGTTAGAGCGAGCTTGCAAAGACGGATCCCCAATTGCCAGCCTCTCATCTTGAGATTTTTTAGGTATCTTCGATCTCGGACTTGCAGCTTCCTCTTCTTCTCCTCCATCTTCTTGGTTCTCTTCCAGTTTCCCCTTGCCCTTCGCATCGATCTTTCTTTTCCCCAGCTCCACATTCTCGGCGGCACTTTCACTCGGCTGCGAATCAGGTTCCCGCACGGCTGCGGGAGGATCAGGGTTCATGCTAGAGCCACCGATCAAGGATGGATGCGCAACCGCCCGTTCTTTAAGCTCTGCTTGTTGAAGGTTAGTGTTATGAATTAACTCTGGAACAACTTCCTTCGGATTGTCTTTTTCTTCTTCTTCTTCTTCTGCCTTTGCTTGATCAGAAAGAGCCTTTTTCCAATCAGCTGGAGTCATAATAATCACCTCCGGTGGTGCAGCGGACTGTACTTCTGGTTCACCGGAGTCACTGGAATCTGTTTCTTGTTCATTGGGATTTGCTGCTTCTCGTTGACCCTGAAATCCTTCTTCATCGGAATCCTCTATCCAAGAAGGTGGATTTGGCATAAGCTTTGGTGCTTCTGCTACACTTGCTTCACCGGAACCGGACGCATTGAAGTTGATTCTCAATGGGTTTACTTGTGCTTGTTGTCCAACGAAACCCGGAATAGTCTCAGCAAGTGCTGCTCTTACATCCTCGAAATCAAAATTCTTTTCCCCTGCGGTTTCTCCTACACTGGAAGCCGGTGTATTCGCAGGAGTTGGTGGTACCAGGCTCCCTGGATTCGGTGTTTTCCTCAGAATCTTCTGCTGCTTCGCTGGGATCTGAGCTTTCCTCAGAATCTTGTGCTTCTTCTCCGCTGGAATCTGGCAATTGCGCAGAACTTGGTGCTGTTTGTTCATCGGAACTTGGTGCTGTTTGTTCATCGGAATTGGAAACTTGCCCAGACATTGTTGCCCCTTGTTCACCGGAATCTGACATTTTCCCAGAAAATTTTCTTCTTTCCCAAAACTCTATCGACTGAAAGGGTTGATTACACAATGCAAGAAGCATTAATCTCACAGAGACTTCTCTCCGTCTTTCACCACCATCTTCGCGTATTTCTTCGTATTTTCGGGTTCCAGAACGATAGAGATTTCTGGGTTTCTCTCTCAATTCTTGATCTTTCTTCTCTCTCTCTCTCTCTCTCTCTCTCTCTCTCTCTCTCTCTTAATTTCTTGAAAGATTTGATGAGTGAATGGTGTCTGTGGTTTCAGTAAGCATTTCGCTGTGAGATAAAAGGGAGGGAGCTCGACAGTGAAGGGCAAGCCGGTAAATATCACGATGAGTCCCTAACTGAAAATTGGCGGGAGAAACAACGGATCATAACAAACTCTTGGTTTTGCAATAGTTTCTTTCTTTTGGGCTTAAATATTTTGTGCCTTTCCTTTACGGGCACTGGGCTCATTTGATTGCTTCTTGAAAACCAATGTCTCGGTAAGTAGTTCTTAGCCTTCTTATTATAACAATGTAAATCAAATTAAGTATGTTTCTCATCTCTTCTCGAATTAGGGATAGGCTTCATCGTCGATAAGTAATAGCATGGAATTAAGACCCCTAAATGACCGCTCAGTTTAAAAAAAATGTTCAAGTGCAGTTAATATCAAGTTTTGTTGAAAATGTTACAACCTATGAAGGTAAATTTTCATACAAAATATCTCGTTGCAACTAATAGTTGATCACTCAGTATAAGTTGTAATAATTTCCTCGAGTATCTGATGTGGAACTTTATATTATTCAACATGCCTATGAAGAAAGTATGCGTAAATTTTTAACGCAAAATGTCATGGGCCACTTGACCCGATTAGGCTTTGTTGCTTGGATACAAGGGGGTTGCAGCTTGAATAGTTAAGGGGAGAATTTATTTCAACACTCGAAGTCTTATATTTGATTCAAACCTCCTTAAATAACTTGTATTGAAAATGAAGTATTGGATACAAGATGGGTGCAAATATCTTAATTCATAAGCAATCCAAGCTATGAGCACATTGAACAGGGATTGAAGGGCACCCCTTGAGTTTAGTACCGACCCTAAAACTAAAAGAGTTGGGGGTAATGCCCTATGAAGTTATGAACTTTGGACTGTATATCACTTTGTTTTCCTAACTTTCAATAGTATTAAGCTCCCTAAATTTTAAATTTATGCCTACATGCTCTCAACCATCAATTCAATCACAGTTTTCTGCTAATTCCGTTATTTGCATTGCACGTGACTAAATTTTTAGAGGCATATGTGTCAATTTTATGAAAAGTCACAAAGAAACTTAGTAAATGCTTGGAATTCTTATCATACTATCTTCATTTCAATACATTTGGGGATGGTGATAAAACTATACACCCAGTAAATATATACTTTGCCAAAGAAATTGTGATACAAATGTAAATACGCCAAATAATGAAAGTAAAAGAATTGTAACAAGTACCAAATCTGACTGCTTAATCAACTATGTTTCCAGTTGAGCAATGAACTGATGCTTCTTTGCAACCAATTCATCGTTGCACATTGTAATGCTTAGCAGGGTGGAGGAACAAAAGCATTTCATTAACTTAAGTTGAAACGATGCGACAAACTAGTACTCAGTTCACTTGAACGATGACGAAGATTTAATGGTAACAAAAAAGAAAGTCAAAAGCGATACAAGATACAGAAAAATATACACAAAAGAGAATGCAAAAGAAGGCAACAGGCATTCTGTTACTTGATGTTCTTCATCAGACTAATTCCACAATGTACAATTGGCTGGTGACGAACATACCCCATGTGAGAGGCACATGCTTCACTTAAACTCTTAATAGAAAATGACAGGTAACACAATACAAGCCGTTACGATGTTTTAATCTTAGCCATACATTATAACCGAGTGTTCTAGCTATAACTAAGAACATAAACTTAAACTTTGACTGAAAACTTGAAATCCAAGCCATCTTCAATTCTGCAGCAAGCTTAATCTCCAACAGTTCTCGCCCTGTTCGATCGATGCCTAATCCGAGCCATCAAATTGAGCAACTTATTTCCATGCTCCTGCAAGTTTGATTTTTCTCGTCCCGATTCAAATTGGTGTTATGAATGAGCTCATATTGTTTTTCCTCATAAATTAATCAACAAATGCTGCAACTGCTCCGCAAAGCCATTAATTGTGAATTAACAACAGTGGCACGTATGCTTTTTCTTCTCTTCCTTTCAATAACCAATTATGATCGGTGACGTCTTCAGTATTTGTCATCAGTATCAACATGAAGGCTGTGAAAAAAATAATACCAACAAAATAACACAAGCACGGGTACAGCACCTAGATTTCGCCCGTCTTTGGCATCTGTTTAAAGTTGTGCAGATGTTTAAGCCTTAACATTTCAGGCTTTTTCTTTCTATTTTCGTTGGTAACTGCTTATGAGGCAAATGAGGTGTCATACGTGGTTAATTTTATTTAGGACTCAAATATTTGTGATCTTTTTGTTTGCAAAGTGCGCATTCAGATTGCTCAATTTGGTTTGGTTGTCTTTGGCATGATACAGAATTCAGTCGAACATGGCGTGCCATATCATATTTATGGCTTTTGGGGTTCTATTCACTTTCTGTTGCTCTCTTGCCTGCACTTCCTACTTCCTTGTGCTTTGTAAAGATCACAGCGAAATCCCCTTGACTCCCATCTCTTGTAATTGTGTAGTAATTTCTCTAGTTTAATGCGGTGTCGGTGAATTATACGTTTGAAATCCTACTAAAACGCTAACCTGAACATAAATTCCAACTGCCTTTGATAGGCGATATTTGGTAATACATAGATTTATTGCTTTCTCATTTTATTGTTGATTTATGCAGCGATTTTCCTAACGACCTCGAACTTTCTACGCAGTTTGTTTCCGACTGCAAGTGCTAGTTTTGGGAAGGAAAAGCTGTTATTTTGTTTTTGTGAAAGGCGATTGGGTTTAGGTTTGCTTTGGAGAAATGCTTAATGGAACTTCGGTTGGCTGAAATTTGCCGGCTTCAAACATATAACCTTTGCAGTTTAACGTCCAGTTTTTGAATCTCAATGATTCAGGCATATGTAGTATGCAAAACCGTCATTTTAAATTGAGACTCGCTAACTTTCAGCAGATTTAGGCCTTTTTCCATTTTCTGCACAATTATCTTCCTTCCCTTACATACTACATGCAATTTAGTAAAACCACGAAAGATGCATTTTCCTGATTTTATATCGTCAATCAAAGTAGAAAGTCATGAAATAGCTTGTAAATTTCGGGATTTTCCATGTTAAACTTGCTTTGCAACTACTGCTACTCAGAACTCTGGAACATTTGGAGAAACTTTTCCAAGTACCTGGAACATGAAGTGACGTGGAGTTCCTAGTGAATAGAACCATAACCCTTGGCTATTTCAGTTTTAAAGTTAAAAAAAAACTGCCACGTTGTCGTTTAAGTGAAGTATTGTTAAATAACCAAAATTTTTGGTCAACTGGATTCCGAATTTACCCCTATCTGATTCCAAATTTACCCCTTCCACAACAAACACCCACACTAGTACAAAAGAGGCTATTACTGGCGGTGAAAAACCGACAAGAAACTCCAATTACTGTTAGATTTTTGGTAAAAATCCGACATCAAATAGTGCAATGTAGGATAGGAGAACCGACGCCGTTGCTAGCATCACGAAAAGGGTATTGACATCGGTTAGTCCCCTTAATCCGAAACCAAGAAGCAAAGTAATATAAAATAAAAAAGAACAACAACGTCGGTTAAAAGCGACATCTAAACTTACGTCGGTTAGAAGTGACATTGAATTCTGACATGATGGTGGTCCTAACTGACATCAAGCAACAATTAAAGAATTAAATATCAAACCTACTGTCAGTCCTAACCGACATTACGTAACAGTTAACACAAATAAAATACTCAAACTACTCTCGGTTTTAACCGACATTACGTAACATTTAGATTACATTAAATAATTATTATGCTATCGTCCATAAGCGACACCAAATATATTAATAATATAAAAAATCTTTGTCAGTTTTTAATTAATAATAATTAAAAAAATTATATAAAAATAATTCCCACCATATATGTCAATGAAAAAATAAACAATTTTAAGCAAACTTATATTAAAAATAAAATTTCTACCAACTATATATTAAATTTAAAATTAACTACAATTCTTAAAAATGTACACCCCATACAAATTCTTCCCGAACTCTTGCAAACCAGTTGTGTGGTTCATAGTTTTCAACTGCCGATTTGCTTATTTTTTTCAGCAATCTCCTGAAAAATAAAAGAATTTATTAGACAAAAATCAAGGTATAATAAAATAAATCATGAAACGTTTACCTTTGTTTTTTCTTTATTCCAGTATGCCACCATCGGAATATTTCTGTAATTTCTAACCTCTGCCACTACATGTTTCGAAAATGCACTAGAATTATCACTAATGCATTTTCCAGACAAATCAAATGAACAAGGTTGTTCTTTCCAATTCGGAATTGAGGGTCCACGTCACCGTTGAGTTGATCCTTATAAATATAGAAAAAACAATTAAAAACCAAAAAACAAAAATAAATTTTCAATTTAAGCATAAAACTAGTTAGAATACAAAACAGAAACTAAAATTAATAATCATAATAATTTAAAAATGAACCACCTTCGAGCTCTTCCTCTTCGAATTGGAGTTCCTGAGAATGTTGATCTTTATGTCGATTATAACATTATGTCGGTTAAAAGCGACACTTTTTTTTTAATGACACACTAGTATTAAAAATATTAAAATCAATGTCGGTTATAAGCGACAATAACAATTTATGTCGATTATAACTGACAGTAAATCCGACACCATATTAAGTGGGTGTCGGAATGTCTTATCCACCTCTATGTTGTA